CCTCCCACGAGAATGAATCTCCCTCGTTATCCAGGAAGATTCATTCTCGTTGGGCTTGTCTGATTTTCTTTTGTTTTTTTTTTTCACTTTTTTTTGCAGAATGTTGTACGTTTTGTTGTTTTTTTCGTTTTTTTCTTTTTCGGTTGTGTACTACTGATTGTCCGAGGCTCGGACTTTATTCCAAGGCTCGGCAATAAAGTCTGAGGCTCGGGGATGATCGGGCTACCGGTAGTCCGAGCCTCGGACTAGATAGCTGAGCGAGGTACTGGTGGTTTAAACCACCAGTACCTCCGAGCCTGTTTTTGCCGACCCTGATTTTAACTGCGCTCCGAGTTTTTTTTTCGTAATTTTTTTCATGTCCTTTTTTTTTTTTTTTTTTGCTAGGACCTTCCCTGGTCCTTGCACGGCCTGGGCATCCAGGAATATAGGGTGACCTTGGCGGCCCTGCTGGTAGCCTAGTTTTTTTTTTCTTTTTTTCTTAAAAGGCTAATTCTTTAAGCCATGGCTACGCCGGACCCGGACCCAGACATTTTCGGACATGGAACTTGACCCGTGTCTGGTAGTTTCCAAACGTCCGGAATTCCCTACTGGCGAAGTAGCAAGTAATCGCGGATCAGCATGCCTCGGTGAATATGTACTCAGGCCTTGTACACACCGCCCGTCACACCTGGGAATTTCTTTTGCCCAAAATTGTCTCTATGATAAAACGGGCTGGCTTTTCTCGGGTTTCTTATCAGCTCCTCCGGGTAAACATGACAGACTTAAAATTTGTTCATACTCTTAGTGTGATTGCTATAATATATACTTTCGTAACTACATTAAGACAAATCGATCTGAAAAAGATCATTGCATAGTCTTCAGTAGCTCACATGAATTTTGCCACTATTGGCATGCTTAGTCGGGCGGCCGTTAGGTCACCTATTGTACAATGACATTTTGGCGGCTCTTTCTAATAAACGAGGCCCACTGGTTAAGTACCGCTTTCTATGATGGAGACTTCATTTTTTGAGTTTTTTTATTACCTCAAGGTATGACACCGCCTTCGGCATACAAGGTGAGATAAGCGGACGCTTTTCTTCTTCCCAGGCTTTGGCAGAATACGAGTTGCTCCCCATTCAAATTCTCCTTTGACTATCCCATCTCAAAGCTTCATAAGCTTTTCAAGCGAGGTACCGTCAACTACCCGGCAATGCCACCGGCATGACAGCCGCCCACCTCCTGGTTGTAATTGCTCAATCACTTCCAAACATTTCCAGACCCTCTGGAGATGGGGGGACCCCGATGGTCCGGATGTCTGAACAGGTCCGGAAATGTCCGAACCATTAAAAAAAATAAAAATAAAAAATCTGAAAAAAAAGTATGCTATGCAGAATAACAATGCAAACCACTTTTGCCTCAGAGTCATGTTAGAATTCCTAACCAAACTTGAGTTACAAGTCAAAAACCATAAAAAAGCAATTAAAAAAAACTTTAAAAACTAATAAAAGGTAATGAATTATTTATAATTAAAAAATTGGGGTTGTCTAATAAATCATTATAGAGAGAGAGCATGTCCGAACCCCCCAAAAAAGCATAAACGGGCCTGAAACCCCCCCCAAACAATTTTAGGGGCTTGGCTCCTCAATGGGGAAGGGTCCTGGACCGTTTTTTTTCTTTCCCCCCCTCGAATTTTGGCAGGTCCAGACCTTCCAAACCGGACGTCTGGAGTCCAGACTGAATCCAGACCGTCTGGACGGCGGTCCGGACGTCCGGATCGTACCCATGGTTTAAGCGCAACCAATTCAATTACCTGAATCTGGACAGGACGGCCTTCCAGGCCTCTTTTATTGTCATTATAGTATCGTGCTTTCTTTTTTTATTTTTGCGGGGACCTTCCCTGGTTCTTGCCCAGCCAGGCCACCCGAGCAAGCAAGGTGACGCGGACAGCCCGATTGGTAGCCCACATTTGAGCTGGGCAGGAAAGGGAAAAAAAAATGTTGTGCCTCGTCAAGCAAGAAAAAGCAATACCAAGCTTGTTGACATCATAAAAAACCTAGGCTGAACCCCGAGCCGCCCGGCGACCTGTTCGTCGCCTTGGGGGGGGGGGGCAGCCCGCCTGCCCGGTTGGCCACCGGGCGACCCCAGCGCATCCTAGAAAGAGGGGGGTTTCGGGCCGTTTTCAAAGCGTGGGGCCAACAAACCAAAAAAAAAAAGGCCGGTAGGCCCGATTTCAACAATTTGAAATAAGGGCCCATCTGCGCCGTCAATCTCCAGGATCGACCGCCCAGATGGGCCGCGATTTTGAATTGTTCAAAACGGAAATCATCGGCCCTCGTCCTCTCCCCCGTGGCCTTTCCCGCCCGACGTGTCACTTCGCCCCCGACGCCTCACTTCGGCCCCTGTCAGGTCACTTCGACGGAGCTCCGCCATCGCCGGCCAACGCCCGCCAACACCGTAGTCACCCCCCGACGCCCGTCGACGCCCGCCGACGCGCTGCCGCGCCAAGGTAAGTGGGTTAGTAGGAGAGAGAGAGCGAGAGATCTTCTTCCTCTTCTTCTTCTTCTTCTTCTTCTTCTTCTTCTTCCTCTTCCTTTTTTCCTCCTCCTCCTTCGCTTCTTCTTCATCTTCTCGCCCCCCCTACCCGCCATCCCCGACCACCATCATTTTTTATTTTTCTGTTTGCCGACAGTGTCTAGTGCAGGCGCGCGTGGGGCCGCATCGCCTCCAGCACTCGTCTTCATTTTCCTCTGCTCCTCCACCACCCATCTTCATCACCTTCTTCTTCTTCTTCTTCTTCTTCTCGCCCACCCTATCTCACCACCCGCCCTCCACCCATCTACATCATCCTCACCCCCTGGACGCCATCCTCCACCACCTAACATACTCATCTTCTTCTTCTTCTTCCTCTCAGCCACCTTGTCTCCTTCTTCTCGCCCACCATTTAGTACCACCTGTCCGCAATCCTCCACCACCCATTTTCATCATCTTCTTCTTCTTTTTCTCCTTCCCCTTCTTCTTCTCCTTGTTCTTCTTCTCCTTCTCCTTCTTCTCCTTCTTCTTCTTCTTCTTCTCGGCCACCCTTTCTCACCCCCCGGCCCTCCATCCTCCACCACCCATATACATCTTCTTCTTCTTCTTCTTCTTCTTCTTCTTCTTCTTCTTATCTCCGTTGTTTCGCATACCCTGGCCGCCATCCTCCACCTCCAACCATCATCATCTTCTTCTTCTTCTTCTTCTCCTTCTTCTTCTTGTTGCCCCCCTACCCGCCATCCCCGACCACCATTTTTTATTTTTTTTTGTCTGTCGACAGTGTCTAGTGCAGGCGCGCCTGGGGCCGCGTCGCCTCCAGCACCCGTCTTCATCACCTTCTTTATCTTCCTCTGCTCCTCCACCACCCATCTTCATCACCTTCTTCTTCTTCTTCTTCTCGCCCACCCTATCTCACCCCCCGCCCTCCATCCTCCACCACCCATCTACATCATCCTCACCCCCTGACCGCCATCCTCCACCACCTAACATACTCATCTTCTTCTTCTTCCTCTCGGCCACCTTGTCTCATTCTTCTCGCCCACCCTTTATTACCACCTGTCCACCATCCTCCACCACCCATCTTCTTCTTCTTCTTCTTCTTCTTCTTCTTCTTCTTCTTCTTCTTCTTCTTCTCCTTCTTCTCCTTCTCCTTCTTATTCTTCTCGCCCACCCTTTCTCAGCCCCCGACCCTCCATCCTCCACCACCCATTCTACATCCTCTTCTTCTTCTTCTTCTTCTTGTTCTTCTCGTCGTTGTTTCTCGATGCCATCCTCCACCGCCAATCATCATCATCATCTTCTTCTTCTTCTTTTTCTTCTTCTTCTTCTTCTCGCCGTTGTTTCTCACCCCCCTGGCCGCCATACTCCACCGCCAATCATCATCATCATCATCATCTTCTTCATAGTCCCACCTTCTTCTTCTTCATCATCATCATCATCTTCTTGTTCTCCTCCTCCTTCGTCTTCTTCTTCACGTGTCGCACAAACATCCACTATATCCCACCTTCGTTTTTTTTTTTTTTGTGTGAGGGGTTGAAAGGGGGGCCAGGGGGGTTGCGTTCAGTGTTTGTTGGCGAGTGCTCCCACACGTTGGTGTTCAATGGCGGGTGGCAGCAGTGGCATTGCAGCAGGTGGTGGCAGTGGCGGATCCGGAAGGAGGAGACCTCCTTCAGGATCAACAGACAAAGGAAAGGCCAGTGCCATTTCTAGTGCTCCCACATCTGGGGTGACTGCAAAGGAACCCACCCCGGCGTCATACCCCTCTCTGTTTGTTCCTCAGGATGACACAGGGGCAACACCAACTGCAGCGCGCCCGGGAGGTGTGGAAATATGTTATACAAGGTCAAGAAGCCCTGCCGAAGGGTCGACGAGAGTATTGGCGGAAGTGTCGGCTATGCACGCAAATTTGGAGGGGCACGAGCACAAGGGCAATGGAACATTTTTTGAAGTTGTTAAAGTCGTGTCCCTTGAGGACAGGGGAGATCGTACACAAGCTCGTGGTCGCCCGTGCGAAGGTGCTGCCGACCGACAAAAAGACGAGGTACCTCCTTAAGAACTATAGGCAGTTGCATGGCATTTCGGAACGGGGGGGCCCTGCTTCGGAGACTCAAGAGGTGGAGCCGCTCGTTTGCGGGTACGAGGAGCCGCAACCACCAACTATTGCGGGGATGGCACCACCAAAAACAGCTTCGCGAACAGAGTCGGTTGCCGCTGCAGACGAAGGGCTTGCGGAAGGTTCAAGGTCAAACACGAGGGTGGCATCATTGCAGCAGGCATCAATCAAGAGATGGGTGGACAATGATGCACAGAAGAAGCTGGATATAGTGTGGGCGGAGGCGATGTTCCGTGCTGGTATTGCGTTCAACTTCCTGAATTTTGACACGGCGCAAAAGCTCCACGAAGTTTACTTGGAAGTGGCGAATGCACGACCAGAGGTCAAGCTCTTGCATATTCAAAAGCAAGTGCATCCTTTGACAACCTGTTGGGACGAATCAGGCTGTACATTCATCACGGACGGTTCATCCGACCGTCAAGAGCGCCCTATCGTGAACTTCTTGGCAACGGGGGAGAAAGGTGCATTTCTCGTGGCCACAGTGTCAATGACCGCAAGGAAGAAAACAGCGCAGGCGTTGGCAAAGTTGTGGGAGCGGATCATGAGGGAGATAGAGGTGCATCGCATCAACGCGATCTGCACCAACAATGTCAAGGTGAACAAGAAGGCTGCTCACATTCTCGAGCGCCGCACTAACAAAGACATTTCAAGGATTCCATGGGTTCCTTGCGCTGCGCATTGTTCCAGCCTTTTGCTGCGAGATTCAACAAGCTAGACTGGGTGAAGAGCACTGTCAAGAGAGGTCACACGATTGCAAAATTCATCCGGAACCACCACTACACGAATAGCCTGATGATGTCCATGGGCGATTCCCTGACATTGCTTCGTCCCACTGAAGTTCGGTTCGGGTCAGTGTACATGATTTGGAGAGGCTTCAGAACAGGAGGGCAGTGTTGTTGGATATGGTGGATCGTAAAAATGCAGCATAGTGGACGGGGATGCGTTGGTCCACTTCGAAGTTGAAGTCGAAATCGGACCTGGTGTACTTCACCTTGAGGAGAGACGGCTGGTGGACGGAGTTGAAGAAGGTGGTCGATGTGATGGAACCGTTGTACAGCTTCTGAAGAGGATGGATCGGGATGGAACATCACCAACAAACCTCGTCGAATACAACGACCTGACTGAAAGGAAACTGACTCACGTGGTTCTCACTGAGGAGCAGCGGGCGAGCGTCATGGACAAAGTCAAAGATCGTGTGAAGATGATGCGGCACCCTGTTCATGCACTGGCGTTTCTTCTAGACCCGCGCAGGAGAAGTCCACGGTGGCTTTATGATCGGGACAGTGCAATTGTGTAGAACGCGATGCGTTACCTGCAGAGACAGGTTGGAGGTGCTTGGAAAGGGCCAGACCACCTTGAGGTTTTGGGTGACCTGCACGAGTTTCACAAGGCGCCCACGCCGAAAGGGCCTAAGAGAAAGGACAAGAAGATGTGGGAGCCCGAGGCGAAGGCTGATTGCGAGAAGCTCACACCGTCAGAGTGGTGGGCGACTTATGGCAACGATGTCCCCGACTTGCAGGCCATTGCCATCAAAGTGATGGGCATGTGGAGTACAGCAACCCCGGTCGTCAGAGTGGTGGGCGACTTATGGCGTAATGTCCCCGACTTGCAGGCCAATGCCATCAAAGTGATGGGCATGTAGAGTACAGCAACCCCGGCTGAGAGGAATTGGTCATTCATGGACTTCGTGCATTCCAAAAGGAGGAACAACTTGCAGCCCGAAACATTGCAGAAGCTGGTGTACATCCATTGGAACATGCAACTACTGCGTGTTGCCAACAACAGTGGTGCCAACGGCGAGGGCTACGTTGATCTGTGGAGTTCGTTCTTCGAGGCTATTCCAAAGCCAGACGAGAACGATGGATCTATCTTGAAGGCCCCCAAGGACGAAACTGAGAAGACGGATGAGGAGCTGGTGCGGCGAAGTACCTTCGTGAACACACCGAAGGGAAAGATTCCGAAGAAGCTCGAGGACGAAGAGGACGAGCGCACCGACGACAGTGACTTGGATGATGAGTTGTGGAAGGGGAAGTGTGATTGTCGGATGAGACGAGCGGCGTTGTCGGTGTGAATACCCTTACAAGGGTATTCGCCCTGGTGTTTGCAAACGGCAGAAAATAAGTTTGGTTTAAAGTTTCAAGTACACCGCTCGACGGCGCGACTGTGTCTGAGGTTTACATTGGCTGGATGGTTGACTAGAACAGAGGGTGTGTGGGCGCGCAAGCTTTGAGGCGCGCAAGCTTTGAGGCGCGCGTGATTTTTATTTGTTGATGATTGAAGAGTCGGCGGGATCGCCGGCCTGATTTTTATTTCTGATTAAGTTAAGACTAAAGAGATCTTGTCTCTTTGACTAGTATGCTTGTCTATGGTTTGTGCGTATGCGCAGAGGACGACATCGACAACAAGGAGACGTTGAAGCATTATCGGTTGACCCGCGCGGCGTGCGGTATCTGTTTATTTAGGAGTCCGCTAGAATAATACCTAGACTTGGGCCCAACACTATTCGTTACAATGTCGGACGTTCGTATGAAAGATTCTGGGAACGAGAGTGAGTGGTGGCGATGTGGGATATCAGAATAGCGAGGAGGGCCCGACGGGGCTATCCCCCTTGATTTTGTCGTCGGTAGCGTCAGGATGGGGCTAGCATTTTATTTTTCTTCATTTCGCCATATTCTGACGATTGAAAGTCTCTAAATATTTTATTATTTATTGTTGTATTATGATTATTTTGCTCCAGCATTTCTTGACTAAGACTCGACGCTGGATTTAGAGGTTATCACGGAGGTCGAGGACCCTGAGTATGCATCTCCTTTTGTTGACTTATGGGTTCCTCACGTGTTCGAGATGCTGGTGAAATTCCCCTGGCTTGAATGCTTTGAAACATGGATCGAGGAGTTCAACGTGCATGCGAACCGGTGGATAGTTTAGCCAATGGGGTTGAGGAAAAGCCTGTGTGTTGTAGGCCACTAAAGGTGCCCAGCCTGCCGCCCACTATCTGCCAAGAGAAGGCGAATGATCTATATGCTTGAGCGAGAGCCGGCAAGTATTGCTCGGAGGCAGCAGCTGTACCGGCTGGGCGGCCCAAACTGCCTCACTACTGTCTGCGTGAAACCCTTCTCCACTTGGACGTCAAAACTTTCATTTAAGCACTATACTACTACCAAGATCTTGCAGAGGACAGCTGCACCTCAAACCATGCCACGAGTCTGCAACATGCCGGCGCTGTCGACACTAAGGCCGTTGTCAGTGGGTAGCATGCTCGTTGGGGGCTCGAGGCTGTGGAGAAACTCCGTTGTGGTTGGAGACACGACAATGTGGTGCACGGCAATGGGGCCACGCACTGGAAGAAAATCACAGCAAATACCGTTGGGCAGATTGTTCATCAAATGCGGTATGGGGCGGATGACTAATAGAACCGTCCAACAGTTGGTTTCCCTGGAAGCCTCGGTCAGATAATCGGTTTACCATCGAAGGACCCCTCGGGGTAATCGTACCTGAGGCGGGGCGCAGTCTGTTGGTGCCCCGTTCGTAATCCGCTGTGAGAGGTGAGTGTAAGCGTGCTCGTTACGATCTGAAAGGTGGTGACCGATGTCGGAGCAGGGCGTAGCCAGGGGGGGATGGCGCTGATGGACGCTGCGCAGTGATGCGAAGCGCGACATCAACAGAAGAGAGCGGAGAGCCGGTAGCATCAACCGAAAGGAGGAATTAGTATAAACCTAGACGCGAATCTGCGCTAGGTACATTCGAAAGTGAACGATGAAGGCAATTAGGTGGAAGATAAAGGAACGACGGGGGCAGGGATGATTCTTCTCGACCGCTTCTTAGCAAACTTACACGAAGTAGGGTGGTGGATAGGGGGTTTAGGCCTAGGCGAACACGATTGTGAAGTCGGAGTTGGAAGGGAGTTAGTGTTTGAGGAGATGCGAAAAAAAACGATTGCGCCGCATACGGAGAAACGGGTGAGGGAGAGAGACGGGAAAAATGATTTCTCGGCCGATCCTCAATGGAATCAAGAGGAATAAAGTGTGGAACGGGGGTTTTCGATCATCGCGAGCGTGATAGCGCTATTAGTTTTAGTCAAAAGTTAGTAGATTAGGTTGTACTAAGAAAATGAGTGTGTTGGCGATGGCGGGAGCGAAAGAGATGAGGAGAAGGGAATGCGTATCTCGCTCATTTCTGGATGAAATCGAGCGAGAGAAGTTTCGTTTTAGAGGTTTTGATGTATTGCGAGTTACATGGTGAGACCAGAATGGAGGGAAAGTTAGTAAGAAAAGAGTTAGTGAGTGCATAGACTGCGCGGAGGTTTTTCGAAACCAGCTATGGAAAGAGTAGAAATCACTTAGCCTACCCGTCTCTTGACGAAAACGGGCGATTGAAGGTTAGAGCTTGAGGTTTCGGGGCGGTGCGAGCGTGATGTCGCCGTAAGTCTTAATGATGGGTTGGTGGTTTAGTCGGGGACGACGCTGAAGGCTGCGCGTAGGAGACAGAATCGACTACGGACTTGGGATGGTGAGAGTACTTACCTTTGTGGTTTGCCTTGCATGTGATTGAGTGTGACCACTACTTGGTTTGAATTTCAGTTTGATAGGTAGCTGCTTTAGTTGCTCTCCACATGCTAGACCCATGGGAGTCAGTTTCAATTCCTGCATTTTATGAGCTACGTTTATTTTACTTAGGTCAATTTCTGCATTTTCTGGGATTTTTTGTTATACTTGGCTTTGTATAAATTTTGGTAAGCTACTTTCTCTACGGGAAGCACTGCCGAAATTTCTGCAAATCCAAGGAGTTAGTCAACTTTTGACTTTTCAAAGTTCAACTTGACTTAATTTTATATGGCTCAGTAAAAATCTGGGAAGTCTCCTTTTTTGAAGGGAGTGCCGCCCAAATTTTTGCTAATTCAAGGAGTTAGACAAAATTTGACTTTGGAAAGTTGAAGATTATTTTTGTTTCTATATTCGGGCTGATATAAATCTTGGAAAGGCACTTTTCCTACGGGAAGCGCTGCCGAAATTTCCTTAGTTTAAAGGAGTTAGATTATGTTTTGACAGGTGGCTATTCTGGCGATGCACTCTATATAGAGGAGACTCTGCCAGGGTCTACCTTTCTTTGGGCACTTGCTTAGAGGTAAACTTAGGCTTAGTTAATTAAGCTGATTTGAGTGAGATCGTGATATGGGGATTATTCTCCATGGACTTATAGATTTAGCTTGGGGATTGACCTGTCTTGTGTTACAGGTCCTCTTGATCAATTGATTCAGGACTTGGGCAAAATTTAGTTGTTCCTACGAGGATCACCTTATGTTATCACTGATAACAGGGACTTTGGATTTGACTGTCTGTGCTCACATACATATATATATGGCCGAGAGGAGTCCCACTATGACTGTGAGAAGTGATTGTCCTATATTAATAACCCTCTATATATATGTGAATATATATATCTTGAGTGTTTCGTGCGGCCCACTATGATCGCGCGTAAGGGTTAAACAGATTATGTTTTCGAGGGAAATGAGACTTTTCCTTTTAAGCCTTTGCTCTTTAGAATTTCTATAGCTGGACGTTGTAGTACGTGGCATCCATCAAAGTCAAACCCCTTGACTTTTCCACAGGCCCTAGATAATGGAGCTGGTCTCCAGGGCAATAAGAAACGATTGCCACCACAGGTATGAACCTGTGTACCACCCACTCTCTGCAGGGTGAAGACGAGGGTGTGGTTCTCAACCGCACTTGGCGGTTGTCCAGCGTCGAGAGATCAATCCCTCAAGGCGCATGTCAGCCGACACTTGAGTGTCGAACGCGACCCTCGACATTAACGAGGACCGCATGAGTATAGGTACTACATGGTACGCCATCACTGAGACCGCTTGCATACGCTTGCATTGCGAGTTGATATGAGTTAGCCCTGCGTCCGCACGGTTTTATACTAAGTCTCGCGCGCGACTCCTATCCAATTTCCGCATCCGGGAGTTATGGGATGACTACTAAGGGACTAGGAGTGTTGTCGCGTTGTTTGGTTCTCTGTCGTTCTGTATATGTATACGTATGTGCGTATGTGGTTTTTTTTTTTTTTTAATGTTTTTTATAGTGGTGTGCGCGTGAAGTGTGGGATGCGTCCTAGTCGACCGCCGACGAATGGCGCTTGGGACCTCAGCCCCCCAAGATGTCGGTTCACGTGCAGGTTCGATAGAGGCGTAATACCGCGCGTACCCCCTATGCTACAACGAACGAGAAACGCCCTCGGCTGGTCCACCTCTACGATTGCAGCTGATCAGCTTACGTACTGTGGACTGGTAGCTCGGCGGGGATACGCCCACCGAAGGGAGGTGACAGCTCCCGTAAGGTGGAGGAATGTTGTTCCTCGCGTAGGCCCTATCCTGTCGTAGAGGCTCGCGAGAGGTATGGTTGGCGCACTCGACCGGAGCGGCTTGCGGCAACTCCATGTATATTCACGACGACGATTTAGATCGACTACTGCGTGGCGCGGTCAGGAGAGTCCCATGCTGCCTTGTGCGGTGCCGGACCGATGAGCTCGACACCGCGAAGGAGGAGGGGGATGAAAGTGATTCCGATTTTGAGTCGGGAGCCCAGCCATCGGTCCCGAACACTACTTATGTCGGTAGGAGAGAAGTTGCAGGGCGTCGGAGAGAGAAGCAGCCCGTGGTCTCTGCACGGGCCAAGGGGGAAAGCTCCTCCCAATACCATCCTCAGTCTTACGTTGAGTTCCATCACGTGCACACGGACATTGAGTTGCTGTTGCAAAGTGCTCAGGTTGATGAAGATGAGGCGAAGGCCGACCGTGCAAAGGCATTAGCAGATCGCGATAGAGATGTCGTCCAAAAACAGATCATGGAAGAGGATGCCCAACATGCAGCAATCCCAACCCGGAGGGAGATTGAGAGACGCAAGAAGAAGGTTGGGGAGAAGGAACCGGAGACGCATCGGCCACTTGACGTTGTGCAAGAGCGAGAAAAGGAAGAGCAACAGCAAAGTGAAGCGGTTTTGAAGGTGGCGGAAGTCGCACTCCAAGAAGAGGAGGACGACAGGGTGCAGCCAAAAAAGGCGGAGGAGGCAGACCTGCAAGAGCCGGAGGAGAAGGACCAGCAAGAAGACAAGGACGACATGGAGCAGCAACAAGGGGAGGAGATGGAGCATAAAGAAGAGTACGAGGAGATGGAGCATGAAGAGGACGAGGAGGGGATGGAGAGTCAAGGAGAGGAGGAGGCCAGGGAACAGCAAGAAGACGCGCAAAGCATGGATCAACAGAACATGCAGCACAACGTGGATGAGGAGGATGATGAATAGGAGCACCAGCCTGAAGTGAATATTGTGTACACGCGTAGGCAACGAACTTTCCTCTATCTTAGTCTAGTGCACCGGTTTTGACGGCATTCCACCAGTTGAGCTGGCGACTTTCACCGCTTCGCGCCTAATTCACCGCCTACGTGCCCTTTTTTCCATCCCAACAATGAGGCTGTCCAACATGACAACTTGTGGGTGAGCAGGGTGGGGAGGAACAGAAAGGATCCGGTGGAGGATGCTACTGTGAAGCCTAAGCGTGCTCGTGGCAGACCCCGCAAGCCGAAGACCGCTGAACCCGGTGCAAAAAAAAAAGAAAAAGATTCGCCACCACAAGGCTCGCGCGGAGGTTGCGGAGGATGACCCCGATTCAAATAACTGCAGTAGACAGTCATTTGAATTCAAAAAGCCAGTCCGATCGCGAATGAGATCACCGTGTGTGTGTGTGTGTGTGTGTGTGTGTGTGTGTGTGTGTATGTGTGTGTGTGTGTGTATGTGTGTGTGTGTGTGTGTGTGACACAGAGAGAGAGAGAGAGACTTCCGTAATCGTTTGTGGAGCAATTTGGACGTGGTATCTCTCCAGGCTTGTTTTTTTTTTTTCGATCTTGTCATCCCTGTACTCTTCTTCTTCTTTTTCTTCTTCTTCTTCGTCCTCCTCGTCCTCCTCCTCTTCTTCTTCTTCCACATACACACCTGCAAGGTCTGTAACATACCACCACTGACATCCCCCAGAACCCATGTTCTGAAGTACCCAGCCCCCGAGTTCTTAGGACGCGGCCGAAACAAAACAACAGTCGCCCATGAGATTTATCAACAATCGACGCCGTCCAGCCCAGCCTCCGAGTTTTTAGGAGTAGGCTATTTTCCCATTTTCCCAACAGCGGGAAAGGGATTTTTGCTCTGAAAGTCTCCTTCATTAGCAGTCACATGCCAGATCTCCTATTTCGTCCTGGTTCGTTGTAAATTTCCCGTGTGCAACTTTGTTCTTTGGGGCAGAGTCCTCCAGGTGTGCACACCCCCTCCCCCTGCCTTTATCTAAGACGAGATTTCCCACCGAAGGGACAGGCACTCTGCTCTCCCTCCCCCTGCCTATGTATGACAAGATTTCCCACCGAATGGACAGGCATTCCCGCCTCATCCCACCAGTCACTGCAGATGTATGTGGGCCTTGGTTCCCACCCAGGGCCAGAGCCGCATTTGTTTGATTTAACTCCGTGCATCAAACCTGGATGCTTCAACTTGCAGCCGATAAGTCCATTGCACATATCTCATTCGTGAGAATGCTGAAAGTGCTCCACAAATTGAAGCCGTCAGCGAGAATGCTGCACTGTAAAAGAATCGAAACCATGGAAAAACATAAAACAAATAGCCCGCCATCTGAGCTTTCCCACCGAATGGACAGGCACTCCACCCTCCCGCCACCTGCCTATGCATGACATGATTTATTTCTTCCTGCCCCATCCCACCAGTTTCCGCGGAGATATGTAGGCATGGTTCCCACTCACGGCCAGCCCCACATTTGTTTGATTTAACTTAGTGCATCGAACCTGGACACTTCAACTTTCCCCAGATAGCAGCCGGTAAGTCCATTGCCATTCGTGAGAATGCTGAAAGTGTTCCACAAATTGAAGTTGTCAGCGAGAATACAGCACTGTAAAAAAGCCCGCCATCTGAGCTTCGTGATGTGCGACTGCATGAGGCGCACATGTAGCAATCGTGAGGAAGTCGAGGCTTCGTCCAGTTTGAATACAACTCGCATTGTAACCATGCAGTATAGCAAAATCGCAGTTGGGCAGGTAGTAACTGGCATTGTTTGCAGAAAAAAGTCGCCTGTGTGAGTGTGCCCTCAAATTACAACGTACGAGTCCTGCTCTGCTGAACTATTTTGAGGAGTTTCCTGAAGGAGTTGGGGGCTCCATTGGCAGATTTTAGAAAATTCCCTTTCGGTAAATCCGCCTTTTGTCACTGATAAAAAAAAAAAAGAGTTGTCCTCGCTTGGCCGCGATGCGCTGCGGATTCAGGGATTCTCAACTTGGGAATACCTCTGCCATATCATTTTCCAAGAGCTGTTTTGCATGTCCATTGAAGCTGCGTCTGGACCGAGGCCATCCGATCCACTACAGCCAGATGACGGCGTTGGGGCTGGGAAACTTCCCTAAGGGCAACGAAATCCCTGGACAGTGGGGCCTCGCGGATTATTATGCATTCATCACCATAATTTAAGAAGGGGAAAGCACGAGCCTATATTGCCACAATCGAGAAGTTTTGTGTAACTGAGCAGTCACAGCGGGCCCGCAGTCCTGCATTTGCATACAATAGGCTTGCAGTTCAGCATTTCCGAATTTGGATAGGCATTTGTCAGCTGCCTCCTGACCAGCAGGCCTAATCGACATTTCTGTATTTAAGGCCGAGCACACTAACAACTCGGTGAAAACAACTGAGCGTCTCAAAAGTATCCCTCTCCGCTGCACAGCATTCGTCAAGTATATGGAGAGCTCGCAATTGTCGATATACACAAAATGCTGGAGCAGTGCAAAAGTATCTGTTCCGAATGTCAGTCCCTATACATGTCGAATGCTGTGTAGTGGACCAAGGCCCATACAGTGTGGGTACGCGCATTTGCACCAAAATAACGGCTTTGTTCTTTGTCGTAGGCCCCTGCCAGTAAGAACAAAAGTGCCTTCACACGTGTTCCCCCGCAGTCCTGCATTTGCATACAACAGGCTTGCAGTTCGGCATTTCCGAATTTGGATAGGCATTTGTCAGCTGCCTCCTGACCAGCAGGCCTAATCCACATTTCTGCATTTAAGGCCGAGCACACTAACAACTCGGTGAAAACAACTGAGCGTCTCAAAAGTATCCCTCTCTGCTGCACAGCATTCGTCAAGTATATGGACAGCTCGCAATTGTCGATATACACAAAATGCTGGAGCAGTGCAAAAGTATCTGTTCCAAATGTCAGTCCCTATACATGTCGAATGCTGTGTAGTGGACCACGGCCCATACAGTGTGGGTACGCGCATTTGCACCAAAATAACGGCTTTGTTCTTTGTCGTAGGCCCCTGCCAGTAAGAACAAAAGTGCCTTCACACGTGTTCCCCCGCCACTCCTTCATTGTTCCACTTCTGTCTGCAGTCTTTCCACCTACCTTCCCCCAGTTTTCAGCCAACCAGCAGAAATCTGGTGTTCTGGTGGTGTGGTCCCCACGAGCACCTCCAGCTTTAGGGAATTGCTCCAGCAATCACCAAACTCAATTTCCCGTGGTGAGTTGTAGCATCCTAGGGGCACCTACACGGGCCCGATTGAGCCTGACAGTTTCGCATCGGCCCCCAGGCTGTGCAGACCCTTCCGTCCGCACGACCTGGTGGCCCACCGCCACATTTTTGGACCATACTCCCACTTGCAAGGAGAATGAGAACTGGTGAAATGACAGATTCCAGATTGCAAAATCACATTGAAAGCCAAGAAGTCTGACACTGTCCAGAAAGCAGAATTGCACCGATGTCTGGCGCTCGGCGCCCAGACCACGATCACGCATCTACTACCAGCCTACGAATTGACAATGCAAATGTTGACGTCAGCAGCCGAACCAAGGTACATGAAGATGTCAACCTTTGTAGACAATCGGCGAGACCAGGTACATGCCCTCACATCATCAACCTGATCTCTCTATGTCTCTCTCTCTCCCTCGACTTGTCTACCCACGTCTTCCTCCCATACACGAAGACCACCACCACCTCCGCTGCCTGTATCAAGCGAAGCCCGGCTATGGTTGGGCTGGCTATGTCGCTGCACTCAGCAGCGCCCTGCACCTCTCAACGCCCGTGTGCGCCTTCGCGCTTGAAACAGTGCAGCTAGCAGCCTGCGAGCAATAGCTCCAGAAGCGCTGTGTCCACAATTTGGAAGCGCTCAAATGAATGCCCTGGCCCCTGGCCGCTTTTCCTTGCCATGCCCACGTGAGACTGAGTGCCCAGTAGCTTCCATCTCGGCCAAGGTGTCTGCGCCCAGGCCCGTTCAGACAGTGGCCTGGGACCGATTTGGTTAGGCATGTCCAACCACCCAGGCATTTATGTGTACCCTGCTTACCCCACATTGCTGGAAGGACCTGGAAGGCTCACGATTCTTTTTCCTTCTCACGTGCAAGGCGGATGTAACAAACTGGCGCATGGCAACTGTCTGGCGCCGACAAAGATTTGCAAAAATTGTCGAGTTCAGGGTGCATTGAAATTCAGGGGGCCCGCCTTCACTTAGGGCAGGCACGCGCCTGCTGCAGGGCCATATGTCGAGGGGCCAAACCCTCGCACGCTCTTGCCCTTTCAACATTTACTTTAATTTTTCGTCGATTATTTATTTGTTTACTGTTGAGTTCAGGTCCGATTTTGTCTGTCCTATTTTTGTCTGATTCAGATGTGTCATTTAGGAATTTTCGGATTGTTCAAACAGGCAGTGCCTGTTCGGACCAGTGGGTTTGCAGAATGGCCGTTGTAGGCCTGGTTAAGCCACCAGTACGCAGCCCAGCTACCAGCCGTCAAAAAAAAGAAGAGTATAAATCTTTCTACTCTGAATTTGGGCGCTCCTGTAGTGGCCCGTAAGTTTCCTAAATTCATGGCTTGTTAACGGGCACGACTTTAGGAAGTACTGGTGGTGTAAGATTCGTAGGTATGCCATTGAGGCCAGGTTCAGATTTCTCTGTATGCATAGGACTACGACTTGAGCCCACGATGAGGACCATCAATCGAGACTCCATCGGACAGCCCTGATCGTAGGCCGTGGGGACATAGGGCCAGGTTCAACGCCATAGAGCTGGACCAGTACCCAGCAGCGGACATCACAGTCCTGCTGGTGCACATTTGGGGATGCGCTGAGCAGCGCTGGTGTTCTTGAGCTCCGCCATAGCAGCTGGAGGGGGTGAGAGGTAAGAGGTTCGGGGCTGGAGAGCCATAGCCGCAGCTTGCAAGACCACGTACCTGGGCGCCCTCGCCGGACTTCACTTCACGACCTGCATCAGCCATCGTCGACGATGGTCAGTACAGGTGAAAAAGAGACAGCCGATATTATCTTCATCCTCTCTCTCCTCCGGCTTCTCGTCTGACCCTCCATAGCCACCTCCTCCTCCTTCTTCTTCTCCTTTTCAAAGACAGACGGAGAGAGAGAGCGAGGGAGAGATTTCAGTCAGCGACGATTCCGGGCCGTTCAGCCCAGGTTCTGGTTCGACATTCTGTGGGTGACGATTATCGACAGTAGAGGGGAGGACGGAATTCTGATTGGGCGAGTTCGAGCTCCTCCTGGTCTCCCCCTTCTCTTCTTCATTTGTCTCATCCCCTCCTCCATCATCGGTGGCTACTCCCATGTGTGTGCGCAAGGAGGTGCCTTCTTCCATTTACGTCACATTCCTTGTGGGATCGACATGTGTGATGATGTCAGTGCGGGCCGAGCCTGAGTCGGACGAGTCCAGTCGTATCTTTGAGTCTTCTGCTGTGCTACATTGTCGATATCCTTGGTTTTCCTGATGTATCTGGATCCTTCTCGTCGTGTTGGTGCTCCTTGGGTTTCATGCACCGCTCATCTATAGATGAGCATGCATCAGCTGCTATCAGAGCGACCCACATGAAGTAGGATCGCGATTGGACTCATTAGAAGTTGCTGAGTGGGGGGGAGCGCCAAGTATGACTAGGGGGGGGCGCCAAGTATTCGGATCGATTGAACAAACCAATCGATCAATCAATCAGACTCCCCGATGATTGATCGATTGGCTGGTTCACCAAATTGATTGACTGATCCATCGATTTACTAAACGGGTTGATGAATTCATTAGTCAGAATCCATTGAGTGACTGATTAACCACTTGGTGTTTATTGATTGAATGACTGATTGAGTGAGTGATTGCGCCGATCAGCATAAAATTGCAAGCCGCTCTCCCGAACGAGTCGCTGCCTGTCAAGTTTGCTCTCCCACGTGATTTTTTTTTTCCTTTCACCTTCTCCGAAGTAGTATCGTGTGTGGGAATGTATTGTAAGATCGAATTTGTTTTCTCCGCTCTCTTGACCCCGACTATCTTTTTTTCAAAAAGACTATAGTAGCCTTCACACTTTTCCTATACTCTTCCATTTCTGAAACCGCGCGGATTCTCTCCTTTCGAAAGCAATCTTCTCTTCCATACGGAGGTTCACCACTTCCACGAGACATCTTTTCCGTATTTTTTGAAGTCATACGGATAACCACTTTCCAAACCCCATTGTGAACATTTCTTTTGCTGATCGCAGGGAATTCTTTTCGCATCGGTGTCCACTGAATCTTTTGATTGCTCTCGGAAATTTCGCACAATCT